CTTGGAAGTTTTGTTATACTTCTTCCCTTCTTATGGCCATTTCCTACAATGATTCTTCTTTACAGAATTACTGCAATAAAAAAGCATCTAGCAAAAACAGAATTTATTCTGCTTCTATGAAAAAGTACCACCTTGGCTACTGAAAGCTGATGGAAGAAAAAATCACAAGCAATTTGAGGAAAGGTGTTAGCAACGTAAGAGAGAGGTACATTCCTCTTCCCTGCCTCAGTGGCAGGCACACTTCTGGGAGTACTTATCAACTGTACCACGGGTCCTAAAACGGTAATTAAGCTAATAAGACCCATGAGGGGAAAAAAAGGTCAAAATAAGGTAGTAATCTTGTGAAGAGAAGTATTACAGAAGAACAAATTATTACTACTGTGTTGACATGTTAAAGAAATGACCTTCTGAAAAAAAATGTCTCCATACTGGTGACTTTCAAGACCATCTATGTGCAGAGTTCATTGTAAACTGTGAAAAGGCTAGCAAGTAGAGCCCTGGAAAAACATGTACTGACCTAAACTACTGTGTGAAAGACTAAGACTGGATTAAAAAAATGTACATATCTCTTAGTTGATAAGCTTTTCTACTGAGGAACTCCTTCCAGAGCCCAAGATCACAGCAAGACCTGATTGCAGAGGTCTCCAGTCCAACGCTCCCAGAGTTGACTCTGCTCTGAGCTCACATGAGCCTTCTCAGGGCTTTAGCCAGCTGGGTTTTGAGAGATCCAAGGATGGAGACCACAGTTTCTCTTGGCAACCCATTCTACTGCTTGACTCTCATTATGGGCACAGCATTTTCTACCCTGAGTCTCTTTTGTTTCAGTTTAAGCTGTAGTTGCTTCTTTTCCTGCCACGTATCATTGCTGAGCCCAGCTCCATCTCTTTACTTCCCTAGAGATTCTGAAAGGCAGCTGTTAGGTCTTCCCAAAGTCTCTTCTTCTGATTGAAGAAGTTCAGTTCTCTCAGCCCTTCAACACTGAAGTTTAAAAAAGGTAATTCTCTGTAAGGATAACACAAATTCAAGTATTTATTCCAGAAGTGATGACGTGTAAGACAATAACTTAATAATTAAACAAGCATACATAGTTTGTGTGGCCCTGATCTCAGTGAACGTTAGTACCTGATGGAATTAAACCTCAGCTCATAAGCCAGAAAAAAGCAGTCTATCTTCTGTGCTTACAGTGAGCCCTTTTATCAAACGGTGTTTGAAATGGTCTACCAAGGAAACTGAACAAGCAGGAGCTGTGTACCTAACTAGAAGTCACATGGTGCACTTCATTAATGCATGGGGTATATTCCAAAATAAAACTTGGATCAAACTTCAGTCCTCAAGGGAAGATAAGTAAATGAGCAACTCTCTTGTAGGGCATTACGGCATTAATTTGTGGAAACAATAATAAACTATGGGCCAAGATGTACAAAAAGCAGATAGGTAAAACTTCTTGATTGCGTTAAAGGCAACACGAATTAAGCAATTGAAGCTAACTCATTTGGATTGTTTAGTACACACCAACGGGCAACATTAAATGCCTTTCCATAAACATAACAATGGATTTTCATTTGCAGGAGCATACGGTAATGTTTGCTAAATTGTCATTCTACAACAGGTGCTCTTTTCTACGAGGTAACACTACCTGCCCCTTTAATGGACAAAGTCATAAAGTAATAAAATTGTTTCCAAGGTAAATGGGACCACCCATTCATTTAATCGCAATGTAAAATGTGGAGATATCAAATTGCAGGCGTATCAGTGACTAACAAATTATGGTCACGCACTACTTTGATTTATGCCCAAGTGTCGCCAGAATTTAGACATTTAAGGAAAAGGTCACACAATTAATCTCTGCATCACAGGCATTGAGACAGTTGAGAACCCATGATTTATTATCAGATGTCACAATCAGAATGGAGTGGCTTGAATGCCTGGTGCATGGCTTGCATGCGGCTGGCTCGTGGCCTGTGTGTGGCTCACATGTGGACTAAATATATACATATAATTTATTTTCTTTTTTTTTTTACCAAAGAAGGAAGGAATGACATCCAAAGGGACATCGACAAGCTTGAGAAGTGAGCCCAGGAGAACCTAATGAGGTTCAAAAAGGCCAAGTGCAAGATACTGCACTTGGGTTGCTATAATTCCATCCATGCGTATAGACTGGGAGAAAAACTCATTCAGGCAGCCCTGAGAAGAAGGACCTGGGGGTCCTGGTGGTCAAAAAGTTGGACATGAGCCAGCAGTGCACACCTGCATCACAGAAGGCCAACTGTGTCCTAGGCTGCATCAAAAGAGGGGTGGCCAGCAGGGAGAGGGAGGTGATTGTTGCTGTCTGCTCTGTCCTCATCCGAAACACTGCATTCAGGTCTGGGGCACTCAGCACAAGAAAGCCGTGGAGCTTTTAGAGCAGGTCCTGGGGTGGCCACAAAGATGATCAGAGGGCTGGAGCACCTATCCTGTGAAGAATGGCTGAAGGAGCTGGGCTTGTTCAGTCTGGAGAAGGCTTTAAGGACGCTTCATGGCACCCTTCCACTACCTACAGGAATCTTAGGAACAAGACCAACTTTTGACAATGGCACACAGTGACAGGACAAGGGGGAGTGGTTTTAAGAAAGACATGAGATTTAGGTTAGATGTTAGTGGGAAAGTCTTCACTGTGAGGGTGGTGAGGAACAGGAACAGGTTGCCCAGAAAGGCTGCAGATGTCCATTCCCTGCATGCATTAAAGGCCAGGTTGGGTGGGTCTCCTGATAGCCTGGTCTAGTGGTTGGCAGCCCTGCTCATGACAAGGGGTTGGAACTGAATGGTCTTTAAGGGCCCATCCAACTTGAATCATTCTACGGTTCTATGAGACTATCTAACATTGTAGGGTGCACACTATGTCACTGTAGTGACATGAAGACGCCAGTTCCCAGGAGCACAGCCTACGAAGGCAAATTGTGCACATTCCGTAAATAGAGCTAACCCTTTAGTTCCTTCATTCTATCATCAGCAGTAGAGGTCCTTGCTTTAACTGTGTTAAAGCTGTCCTCTAATTTTGTAATCTTCTGTTTTGCATGTCACTTTCTAGCAAATTTCAACATTCAGTTTCTACGGAAAAAATCAGAGCATCCACTGGATTGCACAGTGCTAGGAGAACTAGGCCTGTCAGCAGCAATCAGTGCAATAAGTGGACAAGGCAGGGCTGCAGAAACCATCAGCACAATTCATTTCTTATACATAAGATTCCTTCAAGCAGGACTGAAAAAGAGAGTTAAGGGTGGAAATGGAGCAAGGAATGGATGAGACAAAAGACAGGAAATGATAAATAAGGAGGTGAAGGGATTAGCAGTTTAACAATGCTGTTGTTTACTGGTACCTTTATAAATGTACTGGGTTGGGTTTTTTCATTTTTCTTTTTCAAGAACTGATAATCAAATGGTAATTTTCTGCACCTTTGATGCATGCTTTACAAATACACGCTGACAGCCATAGCCCTGAAGAGCTTGCAGTCTGAACAGATGAGGCAAATAAAGGGTAAAGGGCTCAGACAGAGCTGACTTGCCCAAGGCTACACGACTTGAGAGTGATGGACTGTACAGATCTTTTTCTGCTGCGGCTGTTGCTTCGTATTGTATTCTCCACAGTAAAAATACATAGCACAGTTAGCACTGCTGTGAGAAAGCAAGCAGGTCTATGGCTTGTTTGCTACTTGTTTTTTGCATGGGCATGCCAAAACATTACTGTCAGGTGCTGGATAATGCCCCAAGAAACCAGGATCAAGCCCTCTTTCCTCAACACACAGCAAGTACAACATAAGAGGTAGAAAATGTGACATGTCTCACTCTTTGGCAGGCTTGTATTCTGGCCCTGCACACACTGGCAGGGAGAAGCTACTTGGTAGTTTTCCCTGAGCAGTTCCAGATCACTTTTCTGCTACCGTTGGTTCACCACTCTCTCCAAACGCAGAAAGTGCAGCTGGGACTCATCAGGGCTTCTCACGCTCCTCCAAAGCACTCACCTACTCCAGACCTGCCATTGTTGGAGCATTGCATCACTGCCAGACCCACCCAGGGAAGAGAAACGCTAGCAAGCCCTCGGGTGGGATGAGAGTAACACCTGTCAGCAGCAGCAAAACAGCTGAAGATCCCTGCTAGTCACATACCTGTTGTACCCACATTCCATCTGTTAGAGCTAACCAAGGATAGCAAATAAGCCAGTCTTGTTCTCTTCACCTGCTAACTTTGGGAGCAGGCTGTAGCTGTGAAGTTCACAGTCAGCCCAGCATAGACCTTCTTCAAAACCCTAGGACTTTCATTCATGAAGCTGCCCCACAGAGTATAAAGGAGCTGTGATGTTCCCTGGGTGAGGGAAGCACCCTGCCACCTCCATGCCCTTTGCCTTGACAAGCAAGGCTTCCATTTAATCCTCAGATCAGCCTCGCTAAGCAGAACATAAGCATGACTGGTAAAAGAAGAGTTCCCACAGATTCTCATCGCTCACGTTAGCATTCGCTCCCAACAGCTCTTCCGTTATCTGAAGCTGTCCCCGAAATTACTCAAAACCTCTGAACACGTCACCAGGTTTTACCCGTGGTCTATTTTAGTAGCAGGGCAGCCCCGAGACCTATAAAGACCTCGTGGGCATAAGAAGGCACAGTGCCTGCCGGCAGATCGTGCCCTTGATGGTTCTCTTATTTTCAGTCATTAAGAGTCCCACAGTACGAATAAAGTGTAAGAAATCCCCCGGAGGGAATGATACGCTCTCCCTCCCCCCTCCTTACTCATTATTTCTTTTCCACGTACGCTGCCTGCAATGAAACAGCATGGAAAGCGAACCACACCGCATCCTGCCTCCGAGTCTCAAACGATAAATCTCGGGGACAGAATTCTCCTCCGCAAAGCAACATCAGAGCGTCAGAAACGTGAACCACCGCTTCCTTTGTTCGCCGAGGAAAGTCCCTCTGCCACTCCGTATCTCCCGCAGGACGGACGAAGGAATCGCGGAGAAGCGGTCCCGCTTACCTTCATGGTGCTGCCGAACGGCGCCGCTCCCCGCGCGATGCTATGCGGACCGCGCGCCGCCCGATCCCCGCACGAGCTCCGCCGAGGCTGGGACTGCTGCTGCCGGGGCCGCTGCCGCCGCTCGCGGGCTCCGATTGCATCAGCGGGCGGAGGGAGGGAGGCGCGCGCGGCGGCGGGCGCTGGAGAGCGGCGAGGGGCCGCGACCGCCCCGCCTCGCTGCCGCCTCAGGCGCGCACACCTCCCGGCCGCCCCGCCCGGCCCGGCCCTGCTGCGCTCACCGAGAGCAGGCAGGCGAGCGGCTGGATGGACGCGTGTGCCGCGGGCAGTGCCGTCGTTTTGTCCCCTCTCCTTCAGCAAGCATTGAGAAATTCGCGCTCTGAGTCATTTCCTCCCGTTCTCGCTGACAACGAGCACCTCGCAGCCGGCAGCGCACGGCAGCTCCCCCGGCCTTCCGCTTCCCACTGGCGGGGAACCCAGCAAGGACCCACGGGCCCGCCTTGGTTACAGCCAGACGGCGTCGCCACGCGCCCCAGCTTGTGCCTTGCGGCCTCCTCCCGCCGCCCTGTGCCTCACTACAGCTCTACCAGCGCTGCCCTTTCTGCTCTGGCACCCGTCAGGCAGGTCGCCAGCAGCTGCAGGCAGGGCAGCGAATGGCAGCGGCCAACCTACTGCTAGGGCACCTGTACCACAGGGAGTTTTTGAGAGAAAACCCCAGCATAATGTTCACAGTGCGCTTCCTTTCATCTCTACTGATCTTGCATTTCAGTCTTTTCATCCATTACTGTTTTCATAAACGTTTTCTCCCTCTGATCTGCCTGAGAGTAGTTGTAGAATGCTGTTCGTTTCAGTTCTGCTGTCAGAAGTGTCAGGTTGTGCCTGGTGTGATGCATAGGAATTCTCTCGTGTGGCACTGGAGACAGATTATAGAAACAGCAGTAAATCTCATGTCTACCACTTTTTTTCAGCCAGGTAAGAAAGCGCCATTCAGCAGAATTACAATCATTTGGGTTCCAAAGGAACAGGTAAATGATGCCACCCAAAATAAAAGCTCATGGGAACAGTGGTGGCTGTTTAGGAGAAAAGAAAGATGGAGTTAAAGATGCAAAGCAGAAAGGTGGAGCGGTAAGGAAGCATCAAATAGATGCATATCATCCAGTGGAGGGCCACAGAAATGACCCAAGGGATGGCACACTCCCCCTGTGAGGACAGGCTGAGAGCTGGGGCTGTGCAGCCTGGAGAGGAGTCAGGAGAATGTTCAGTATCTCAGGGAAGGATGTGAGAAAGAGAAGGACAGACTATTTAGCAGGGTCTGTTGGGATAAGAGAAAGGAAATGATTTCAAGCTAAAAGAGGGGAGATTTGGATGAGATTGAACAAAAAAAGTTTTTTACTGTAAGAGTAATGAAGCACTGGCACAGGTTGCCCAGAGAAGTGGCGGATCTCCACCCATGGAGATGCTCAAGGTCAGGCTGGATGGGGTTCTGAGCAGCCTGATATGCCGCAGGTGTCCCTGTTCACTGCAGGGGAGTTGGACTGGATGGCCTTTGAAAGTCCCTTCCAACTCAAAAGATTCTATGATTCTGTGATAACTGCTGTTCAGTGCTCATGAGGCAATTCAATCCATTCACCATTAACTTCAGATTCCAAACACGACGTAGAAACAGCAATGCTGTGGCAGTCCAAAAGTGTGTTTAATCAAGTATGCCGCCTCTGGTGATGCACAGGATCAAGGCCTACAGGAGCTGCAAGAACAGAACAGGCATCTAGGGGTATTTCCTGGTACTCTTCTAGCCTCAAGATGTTTGTGCCATAGCAGTTTCCTAAAAGATGGATTCATGCTTGATGGTTGCACATGGGTTTTCCTTCTGTTAATTTATCCATTTTTCTTTGAACACATGTAAAATTTGGTATCTACGATATCTAGTGTTAACGAGTTTCACAGCTTGCCTCTGTTTTGAGGAAAAAATACCTCATTTTGCTTTGTTTTCATCTACCCACTGGAAAATTTCACGAGAAATTCCCTGCTCCCTTCTGATATTGTGAGAAGTACTATGAACAGAAAATAAGCTGAAAATATTCATTTCCTCTGTGCCATTTGTGATTTTTCAGACTGCTCCTGAATCCACTGTTAGTCATCTCATTTTCCAGATGAAGTGTCCCAGTCGTTTTAGTCTAAATATAAGAATAGTTACATGCTTTGATCATTCTTTAGGTTGGGCACATGAACTAGATGCAAATTGAAATTGCAGGTCACCAGGTTTTCTCTTCATGTTTTCCTTTCTATTTATTTTCCTAATGATGCTCTGTTTCCTAGTCTGATTGTTCCTGAGCACTGAGCTGAACTGATATTTTTACAAAAATAATTAAAAATAATTCCAAGGTCATCCAAGGTCATTCATAATCCATCAATGTTTCTATAAATTTAGCTTTTGCTTTTTTTTTTTTCTTTTCCTTTTTTTTTTAGCTATGTGCATCCTTTTATACCCTTACTTCCTTTATATCCTTATATCCTTTACTTATATCTTTGTATGCAAGAAAGAAGTCTTTTACAGTGAGGGCAGTGAGGCACTGGTACATGTTGCCCAAAGATGCAGTTGGCGCATCCCTGGAGACTTTCAAGCAAGGCTGGATCAGACCCAGTACCTGTTCACTGCAGGGGAGTTGGACTAGATGACCTTTAAAGGTCCCTTGCAACTCTAAGAATTATATGATTCCATGATATTTACAGTCATAATTACCTGCTATTTTGACATACCTGTACTCAACTCCAGAAAGTCCTTTTATATCTCTTTGTAAATAAGTCTTGTTTTGTTGAATTCTTTAAGACTATTATCCTGAAGGATTTAATCTCATCAGCAAATGTTGTCTCTACTCTATTTGCCTCCATTTCCATATCATTTTCTCAGTTGCACCCTCTCATCTATTTCTCATCTTTTAACCAATCAACGAGGGTAGCCACTAGAGCATCTTTTCCTGAGAGCTTATCTTTCAGAAGGCTTTGGTAAGGATCCTTGTCAAGTCTTTTGTAAATTCAGCCACTGAGACCTCTACTGTCTGCATGCTCATGGAATCCTTTAAAGAAATTCCTGGACTAGCTAGGCAGGACTTCCTTTTACACAAGTCATACTGAGTTTGCCCTTTGATGCATATTTACCCAAACATCTTTTTTCATTCCTTACTGCAACTTCTACAGTTCCTCCAGAAAATAAAGGGAAAGGAGAAATGTTATCTGAGCTGCAGACAGTGTTTGCTACTGCAAAGTCAAAACATCAAATTCTTCAGACATACGATGAAAAAGTGTTATTTTTATTTATAGTTGAGATGGCCCTGAACTGAAATAAAAATCAGAAAAATGAGACCGAAACAATGAGAAGCTACACAGCTTCCCTCAAACATTGATTGAGGACATTGTTCATTTCTATGCTAGATTTTCCATTAATGCAAAGCATTCTGTGAATGCATGACAGTGCTGTTAAACTTTAGAAGTTTTAATGAATAAGTTGTTCACAGCTATAGAGAATTCAGTAATTTATATGCTTCCATTGCAAAGACTTTTCACAAGTTTGAGACACCCACAAGGTGAACGTGAGCTATGACACCTGGGTCCCTACACACAGATGATGTATGTAAACAGCCAGAAACCCTGCAATTAGTACATCCCACTCATTTTGTTGGTGGGCAGATGAGCACAGCATTCCTCCAGTTTGCTTTGGGTTCATGAGTAGATTTTGTTTTGCAGTTGGCCAAAGGGGTTTCACTCATGCACATTATTTAAATGAGAACTGAATAAACTTACATTTTAGACACAGAAATATGAGGAACTACAGTCTGGAAAATGAAAAAGCTTTATAAAAACCATATGGGGAAATCTGAAGGAGGCAGCTTATGTAATTGCACAGTTCTACAATGAATGAAAGGCAGAAACCCATAGCCTGATACATTCTCAAAGGTTTCCTTTTATAACCCTTGTCTGTCCAAAGAGGATAGGGTGCAGCTGGGTAGAAATTGTCTTTTTTTAGCAAAAATCTAACAAAAAAAAAAAAAAAAAAAATTAAAAAAAATCTGGGATTCTGTGGGGTTTTTTTTGTTTGTTTGGTTGGTTTGTTTTATTGGTGGGTTTGTTTTTTTTTTTCCTTTTGAAATGGAATGAGAACAAAAGATTTTAAAATTTTCTGTGGTAAAGTGTGGGAAAATTATTATCCAATCAAAAGGTGTAATTTTGACAAAATCACTGTTTCAATTTGAATTTGAACTTCTTCAATTTTGGAAGGTTTTTTGTTTTTGTCTTTCTTTTGTAAATTGTGCTCTTTTGAAATGTGTTCCAAAGCCATTCAAATGTCAAAATGCATCGCTTTCAAAAATACCATCGTGGTGTATTCTGATCTTTCTAAATACTTTTCTTCTCCTTAGCTTTTCTAATAAAGCTTCCTTAGTTTCTGTGGTTGCAAGAAAGTCCTTCTGCTGCTTCTTACTACTCCCCCTCCCCCCCAAATAATCTTTCATTTAAAATATATGTGTCAGGGAAGATCTGTGGCCAATTTCAGTCACAAAACTAAATCCATTAAGAATTAAGGGAGTAAGTGCAGGACGCAATTTCAGTATAGCTGCCTTGCAGGACTGTAAGTATGGCTCTGGAGAGCTCTTAAAATTGTGAAGTAACTGAGGGAAAGACAAACCTCTGGATGCGAATAAGGCTGGTGCTGCAGAAATTTCCTAACATGTAGGAAGCTTCCAAGAAACAACCATGTATTACACCAATTGTAATTGGTGTGTGTGCACGTGTGAATGTCTGCATATATACAAGACATTAGAGTAAACAATTGTGTTGGTTTAATTAGGTAGGTTGCACCAGAAGTAATGCCTCCTATTTATTTCTGTGGATGCTACAGTAGATACAAAGTGCACAATGAAACTATTTGATAGAATAAATTCTCAGCTACAAGATGCTGTTTTTCCACATAGCCACCACCATTAGATATGCATTTTGGCCAGTGATGAACAAGAGTTCTTCATTTTGTGGTGTGACAACTACACATTTCCATCCAGAATGTGTCTTGTCTTTCACAACTCTGTCACCGCCGC